GAAAGTTACAGATAGTCACAAACATCATAAACAAAGTAGAAGTATATAACTTAATATATAGCCTAAAAGAACCTGTCAAAACATGAAATGCTAAACTAAGACAACACAATAAACCTTCTCATATGCCACAATCAATATCTTGTTTTACAACTCATAAATGATAAAGTCACAATGAAAGAATTTGAAACTATAATCCCAAAGCACACAAGTGATGAATCAACAATGAAATGGGGTGAAACTATAAAGAATATTGCCATGCTTAAAAAATTACAATAAGCTATGTGAAATGATTTTGTTGTTTCTTGGCTTTCAATTTTCCCTAGATTTGGTTAAGCGGCATTGGGTCCTTGCATGTCCTACAATTGTGATTGGATAAATCACATCTTCCACATTCACAATTTGTAATCTCTCATGTGCTGGCTCTTTCCTTGTCTTAGTAGGATGACTAGACATTTTTTATGATTTGGAGGCAAGTACAGTTATACTCTTCACGTCCTTGGGCAAAATCTATTCTCCTCTCTTACCTATAAGCATAACTGTCTCCTTGTAGGTTTTTGCATGTGCATCCGTTGTGTAATAATTCAGGTGGAAATCATACACGTCAAGATTCAATGTGCAAACACTGCTATTGCTCGTTGACACGAAAGTTGATTAGTTTGAAACATTCTATAACTGAATGTGTGTTGAGTTATATCGATCATGTATGATGGAGGAATCATCTCGCACTTCAAACAAAGTGTGATTTGCTGAAAAACCTGAAATTAAATAAACCAATTATTATTGTGAATTTAAGAGGGCTATAGTTATAAATGTTACTATCATAATTCTATATATTGAACATTGTAATTACCTTCAAATTTCTCACATCATTGCTCATTTCCCTCAATAACTTTTCGTATTTGATTGCAAGTTTTGTGAAATTACCATGTGCATTGTCCCTATTCTTACAAAAATAAGATTGACTGTTTTCCTTAATGACTAAAAAAGTGCTTCAATAGGGCAATATTTGGCCACCTTTGTGACTACATTTACGGATTCAACTATGTTCGAAGTCATAATAGATTATCAATTTGTTGGCATGTGCAATCTAGACCATCTTTCATATCCAACTTCCAACTACAAAATAATTTAGTTTTATCCATATTATAATAATACTGTAACAATGTCAAAATAAAAGAAATATAGTTCATACATTAAATAGGCATGGTCATGGACAATCACATACACTAAATATATCACAGAACAAGTTATATGCTATCACAATATAAGTTATAGACAATCACATACCAGATATCATCTGATCTCTTCACTGATTGAGTACAATTTCTATATTTGATATTCAAATTCATCCACTATATACGCTTGTACAACAGCATTGAATGTATGTATAACGTTGTGACCTAATTTTGCGTAATGGGTCTTCAAATTTTTAAGCAAATGGCATGAACAAATCCCATGCATTGTCTCTGGATATACGAATTCAATGGCATTTCTTATGCTATTGTGTCTATCCAATACTGTACATAATCCGTCTCTCGATCGACATGCACTCTTCAACATCTCAAGAAACTATCTCCATGCCTTATCAAATTCATTGTCCCCAATCCTGAAAGCTAGTATAAAGATGTTGTTTGCATCTTGAGTACAAGTTGTGAAGCGTGTACCCCTATAATGGCTATTTAAATATGCGCCATCAATTACAATGACTAGCCAACAATATTTTCAACGAGCGATAGATGCAACCTAAGCCATAAAACAATATTTAAATGTATCTAAATGATCCATTTCTATTCTTGTGGTTGTCCCCGTATTCATCTATTCTAGCATAAAGAAATAAGAAGGCAGCAACTGAAACAATGTCATTGGATCACCTCTAATCGATTTTAATGTCTGTTCACGCAACTTCCATGCCTTCATATAGTTCACTAATATTTCATAATTTTGTAACATGTTATTCAAGATATCACTAGGAATGTATATTGTACGTGAAGAAATGTATTTGTACCTGACGCAGTTTGACATCATTAAGCTATATACTTGATGATGAGATCCTAAAACAATATTCATCAAGTATGTGTAACCATTACACATTTTCTAATCTTAAACATTTTTGTTTCTCCCAAGTGTGAATATCTAAATATCTACTTGCAATTGTTATGCGGCCACTTTATGCGTACTTCTTGATCGATCTCATCACCTTATATTCAAATTTATTTTTTATAGCCTAGAAGGCTAAGCTCATTTTTAAGTATTTCGTTGCTGCGAAAAACATTTTCCTCTACTACTTCTTTAACATTTGCTTGAGATACCAGTTTACATCTTCTTCAATGTTTCCTTTCTCAACAGTCGTAATTGAGTCACAATATCCTGAGCTCATTGTTGTAAAGAAAACACATTAATTGATGACTTAACAAAAGTAGTCGATGACTCTGGGCATTGCAGTGTACTTGTTGACTGCCATGAATCTGCAGTGATAATATCAACTGTTATAGAATAATTTGATACAATCCCATCCAAAGATTTTAGCCTCAAACACGTTAAGATATTATTATTGCTTAGAATCTAGACTAGAGGTAAAGTAGAATCCAAAGAATATGCCAGTCTTACAGCTACTTCTATATGATTAAGCCCCAATTCTGAAATGATAAGTTCAACCAATTCATCATACTTGCACGTATTTTTTACTAATATAAGTGACGTGTGACCTCTGTAAAACAGGCAAATATATAAAATTACCATGCCTGATCACACGCAGATAACAGCATGTCACACTTCATTAATTAAATTCAAGAAACATCCAGATGCAATGTCATTGATCAATATAGGCCACAAAAGTTCATATTTATTGGAAATATATTCATATACAGTCAACAATAATAGGGTTACAGAGAGTCAATTTTCAATAAAATGATATTGATCACAGACTAAACAAATTTCAATAGTCACAACTAGTTGCTGTTAATAGAAACATGTATCAAAGTGAATGAATTATATAAACGATCAAAGATAAGCATGTTTATAACTGTAGATTGAAATAAAAATTGCATATTATCAATGGTTAATGAGAAAATACACGTCAAACACTGGGCAAATTATAGCTTATTTTGAACCGCGAGAAATCTTTGATCATGATTAGAAAATAGTTTCATTAGATTTGAAAACATCAATTTCTTCAAAATCATAAGCTTATATTAAGTTATTATAAGCTTATCTTCGAAATCAAATCACAAAACTTCAATTTTTGCTTCAAAAAAGTCCAATTCTTCCATAGCTGAGCTTCAACTTCTCTAAAACAATGAAAATCAGAAGTATGTCGATGGAATTGTGACTTTCTTTATTGATTGCAGCTCGAAATTGAGGATTAATGATTGAATTTTCATTATTTTGGAGAGTTTTCACAATCACAGAACTTCAATTTTTGCTTATGAAAAATCCAATTCCTCCATATCCGAGCTTCAACTCTCCAGAATAATGAAAATTAGAAGTATGTCGATGGGATTGTGACTTTATTGATTGTAACTTGAAATCAAGGAAGGCAGTGAAATTTTTGTGATTTTGGAGAGTTTTTGAGGAGCTTGTTGTGTAGAAAGAGAAAATTGTGTTTGATTGTGTGAGGAAAGTGATAAATATCTTTAAATATGTTACATTAACTAATTTGTGGGAGATTAGTATTTTTTTATCCAAATTTAGTGTATATTATATTATAATTATATATTTATTATTTTTAATTTATCATCTAATTTATGAAAATTTTTAGAGCGTTTGTCAATTGTAAAATATATTTTTATAGTGTAATACATGTGTTCTTCCCAAAGAAAAAACAATGAGAAGCTCTCATGTTTTGATTATACCATTTTCAATACAAGGCCATGTAAGTCCCACTATGGAACTCGCACTCAAAAACATGATTTCAAGGTCACATTTGTCAATCATGAACGAGTTATGAAAGCATTGCCAGAGAGAGACACAAGAACTCATACAAATGGTTTCATTACCTGATGGGTTAAAGCCCTTTGATGACAGAAGTGATATTATGAAGGCGTGGGGATCAAATTTCGATTTCATGCTGGGTGAGCTTATGGCTCTCATTGAGAATAATTGAGCCCATGTTTGATGGTCATTATTGTATAAAAATAATGTTTTAAATAATATTTTTTTTTTGATGAAAATGTGATAAAAAAAAAATATGAAAAATTTTGGGTTTATGTACAAAATATTTTATATTGTGTGAATGTTTAATTGAAAATGAATATGAGAAATAAATTGTTTTATTTTAAAGAAAATCAAATAGGGGCTAAATTAAGTAAAAATAAATAAAGTGGTCCAAAAAAAAAAACGTCATTAGTTTCTCACAAGTTCCAATTTATGTTCCTTGTTTCCAATAAAATGAAGTGTATATGTATGAGAAAATTTAATTGTGTTTTTATGTTAATTTAAATGACACCACATTAGATGCATAATTAAATAAATTACATAATTTTACCTTTAATTATGCATATCACATTGATCACGTAAGGCCGGCCCAAAACGGCTAAACATTCATTCCTTTTTCTAAATGAAAAATAGAATATATGTTCAACATATTCCTTTGTAAATATGGTTAAGAACAATTTACCTGCTTTTCATGAGAAAATTTAATTTAGCACTACTTGTGTTTCTATGTTAATTTAAGTGACACCACGTGACATTAAATGAGATGTATAATTAAATGAATTACATAATTTTACATTTAATTATGTGCATCACATTGGTCACCTAAGGCCGGCCCCAAACGGCTAAATATTCATTCCTTGTTCAAAATGAAAAATATACGTTCAACATATTCCTTTGTAAATATTGTTAAGAAGAATTTACCTGCTTTATTGGCTTAGTAAAAGACAAGCAAAAGAAAACACTAAAATTTCCTCACCGCGTACATAAATCAAATTCAAGCTGATCTGCCATACACTTATCACCATTAAACTTCTCTTGTCACCAATCTAAGAAAAACAATGAAAAGAATGAAAAGCCCTCACGTTATGCTTATACCATATCCGGCACAGGGCCACGTGATTCCCCTTATGGAACTTGCAGTCCGTTTAGTAAACTATGGCTGCCAGATTACATTCGTCAACACTGAGTTCATTCATGAACGAGTTATCAAAGCATTACCGGAGACAGACAATATACAAGAAATCATACAAATGGTTTCAATCCCAGATGGATTAGAATCATCTGACGACAGAAGTGATATAGGAAAACAGACAGAATCTATTTTTGCTGTCATGCCGGGTGAGCTGATGGCACTTATTGAACAAATTAATGGTTCAGAAAGTGATAAAATCACCTGTTTAATTGCTGATGCCACCATGGGATGGGCTCTGGAAGTTGCAGAGAAAATGAGTATCAAGAACGTGGCTTTCTGGCCGGCAGCAGCCACTCAATTTGCGCAGCTGTTTAAAATTCCAAATCTTATTGATAATGGAATCATAGACAGTGATGGTGAGTACAGTTTAAAGAATAAATATTGAATAACATTTATCATGATAACAGGAGCAGATGAAAGCGTAAATGATTTTTGCAGATTTTCGTATAAAAGACGGTCAATTTTCTTTCTATTTCATTCTTTCTTCTAATGTCTTATGTTCTTAGACAAGAATAACAATAGTAATTTTCCGCCTCACCAAAGGATATTGTAGAACTTGTTTGTGTTTTAATTCCATTTGACTTGTCCCCATTAAAGAATAGTTAGCAACTCAATAATCCATTTGATCGGACGCTAAGAATCCGTTTCACTGACTAATTTTTGACATTTTAAAGCCCAGAAACGAACGGGGTTTCAGTGAGTAATAAAAGGTTGGGTGACTAGTATGAAGTTGACAATCTGCTTTTCAGTGACTTGCATAAGTTGGGTGAGTAATATAGCTTGAATGAAAGTTCAGGGACGAACCAGTTTTTAACAACAATTCATGTACCAAACTAATGCCGAACTTTCCCCTTTTTTTTTGTTTTTTGTTTTTTGTTTTTTTTTTTCCCTCTTGCAGGAATACCAATGCAAAACCAGATAATTCAGTTCTCACCAGCGATGCCCACCATAAAAACTATGGAATTAAGTTGGAACTGCTTTAACGATGAACTGACAGCGAAAATCATCTTCAAACTTATGGTACAAATTTTAAAGCCAGTGAAATCAGCAGATAGGATAATTTGCAACTCATCCAACTGGTTGGAATCTGGGACATTTGCCTCATTTCCAGACTTTATACCTATAGGTCCTCTTCTGGCAAGTTATCGGCATGGAGAATCAGCAGGAAACTTCTGGAAAGAAGACTCAGGTTATATGGAATTCTCTCTTCTAAAAGTAAACTGTTCATTTTTTATCAAATGCATGAAAGTTGCACGATTTTCGTATAATAACTGACAGCGAGGCTTTAAAATAAGGACCCTCCCTATCTTAAAGTGGAATCTGAAGGTGAGGAATTTGATATTTGAATTTTGTCTACAATAGGTTCTCTGGCATGGCTTGATCAACAACCACCTAATTCTGTCATTTATGTTGCATTTGGGAGTTTCACAATATTTGATCAGAATCAATTCGAGGAACTGGCTATTGGCCTTGAACTCACCAACAGGCCATTCTTGTGGGTTGTGCGGGAAAACATAATTGAAGACATCAACAATGCATATCCCATGGGTTTCAACGAAAGAGTGCATCGTCGAGGGCGGATGGTGAGTTGGGCACCACAGCAAAAAGTACTGTCTCATCCTTCTGTTGCCTGTTTCATTAGCCATTGTGGTTGGAATTCTACAATTGAAGGCATAAGCAATGGAATCCCTTTCTTGTGCTGGCCCTATTTCGCAGATCAGCTTTTTAATCGGAGCTATATTTGTGATTATTTGAAGATAGGTCTGGGATTCAACAAAGATGATAGTGGAATCATCAGGCGCGAAGAAATTAAGAACAAATTGGAACAACTTTTGAGCGATGGAAGATTTAAAGAAAGGGTTTTGGATCTTCAAACAAAGATTAAAAATAGTGTTAGAGAAGGAGGGAGCTCATACGAGAATTTCATTGATTTTGTAGCATGGATTAAGGATTAAAAATATTCGTTCTTTCTGCCTAGAAGAATATTGTCACTTGACTGCATATGTTTGGCAGCAAGAATATTGGTTTACAGCTTTTTATCTCCTTTATGACTGTATTGCCATTGTTGTGCATCACATTAGAAATGGAACAGAAGCGATATTAGGCACTATCTTTGTAGAAACTTACTAGCATGATTCTAACTGAGTTTGGGGTCTTGGAACTTGAATTCTCAAGAAACAAAAAGTTGAATTACTTACCTTTGGTAGCTTCCTTACTGCTCTTTTAACGGAAGGAGTTTGCTTTCCACAATCCAAGAACCAACATTGAAATAATAACCTTGCATATTCAAGTCACCACACTCATGCATTTTCACTGCATTCTATATACCCGATTTTCCATTCCTTGTATTATGGTTTTGGAGGGTTAGGAGTTATATGAAGTTATAGGTGGTGGGAGGTAAAGTTTCAAATTTAAACCTCAACTTCCCTTAACTTCTCCCACCAAACTATTCCCATTCAATTTGGGTCAGGTTAGCGTACATGTACGTGAGCCTGATCAAGTACAATATCAATTATATCTATCTAGAGATCTCCAAGTTAATAGAAGTAAATGGATTGTGGGACCAGCGAGCTAATTTAAGAGCGCACAACACTAGACACCTATTAGGGATATATAGAAGCTTTACAAGAGGAAATACATCTCGTTATACCCAGACATATTTTGTAATATCAGTTCAAGTATTTTTTATCCCTTAATTAATCAAAGAACATACTCAAACTTCCTATATATATAGTATGTACAATTGCATCACAAAACCTTAAAAAGTTAACAAAATTGTCCAATCGGTGAATACAAGTGAGGTATTAGATAAAATTGTCTTCCTTTTCTACATGGATTCCTTAATTCCTAGTCAACTACTTTTCTAGACATATCCCATTAAATCGAATGAACAATAGTTATTGATAACATACTAAAGTTGCAACACTGAAATTTTAAGAAAAATCAAAAGTCATAATGGTATATAAGTGAGGTCATATGTGCCTCGGAGAATCAGACAATGAAGAAGCAGTGATCCATTCTTTAATGTCTCATTGTTCGTTAAAGTCCACGTGGTATGAAATATCGGTGTTTTTTCCCTTCCTTATGACCTATGTCTCAGCTTATAAGTTAAATACACCGTATAGATTTTAGTTTAGATATTCCTCGATATGTAACCTTAGTTCTCGTTATATTTATTCCTTACAGATCTTAATTTATATAGTTCTTGATGCCTAACTTGAGTTCTCCTTATATTCATTTCTTTGGGAATTCACAATCGAGAACTCGATCTAGTTATAAAACAGATCTAATGGATAGAAAAACTAATTTCAATTACTTGTTATGATCTCATCTTAGCGTTTGAGATGATAGCTCATGTGAGAGAACTAATCTTAATATGTTTGACATACTTTATGTTTGCATAAGAAACAATATAGTAATCACAATAAAAGATTAATCGTAATATATAAACTTAAAACATTATTTACTTCTAGACTTATAAAGATATACATATTATATAATTTAAATTCTACGCAGTCCCAAAGATTTGACATGAGTGACAAATACATCTTTAGGAGTAGGTTTAGTAAATGGATTAGCTACCATTTGGTGCATAGAAATTTATTACAAACTCACTTCTTTCTTTCCTATGATTTCTTTTACAAAATTATATTTTGCGTCAATGTGTATTGTTCTATTGTGATATATGGGATCCTTTGTACATACAATAGTTGAAAAATATTATAGTAAATCAACATAGGTCCCATGTTATCACTAAAGACTCTTAAATGCTGAAAGAATCTCCTTCGCCAAACAATTTCATGTACTGTTGAAGCATATGCTAGAATTATACTTTTATTGTAGATGAGGAAATGTATATGTGTTTCTTGCTACTCCAAGTGATGACACCATTATTAAGCCCCAGTTTGGCCCCCCATTATTTGAGATTTAAATTTTTTTTGAAGAATTGGTGATTGGAAAAAAAATGAAAGGTTTTTTAATTTATGTATAATATTATTTTATTAAAGAATGTGTAGTTTAAATGAAGAGAGAGAAAATTGTGTAAAAATTTTAATGGAGCCCATTCGGGCTAAGCATCCAGAAGTGGACTTGCGCTCATCTAGTTCTCCACCCCAGTGATTATTTGTATATCATTTTAAGCGTACATCATTCCCTTGATAACGTAGGGAATAGCTAGGGATAGCTTACAAGTATCTCATTATCCTTTTGACCTTTTTACGATATCCTCTTTTAGGATTGGATTGATACTACTGACTAGACCTATGACATAACAAATGTCAGGATGAGTACACATCATATCATCCATATTACAGAGGTCACGAGATATTGATACTAGGAATTGAGGCATTCAAAGCCACCTAAGTTACAAGATACGAATACAATATACTAAGAATGTTTTGTATATGCAACAGTTGCCTAAGTATCATAGTAAATCAATACACGTCTCACGTCATAACGAATGACTCTTAGATAATGAAAGAATCTATTTAACCAAATGGTTTCATGTACTGCTGAAGCATGTAATACGAATACTACTTTCAATGTAGATGAGAAAATGCACGTCTGTTTCTTACAACTCTTAGAGATGGCACCATTATTAAGCAAGAATGCATATCCAAAACTTGACTTGCGCTTATCAAGGTTTCCACCCTAGTCAGCATCTATATATAAGCATAAATTATTCCCTTGATAACACAGGAAATAGTTGTTTGTACATTTCAAGTATCTCATTATACTTTTAACTGCTTTCCAATATCCTCTTTTAGGATTGGACTAGATTGATACTGTTGACCAAACCTATGACATGAAAAATGTCAGAGCTAGCTAGTACGCATCTTAGCGTACCTCAAGCTCTCAACTGCATTAAAATGTGGTACTCTGGACACTTCTTATTTTTCCTTAAGAGTCTTAGGACACATGCAAAAAAACTAGAATATCATTTTTGATACAAGAGTATTAATAGTATTTCAATTCTCCATTTTGAAACATTCAAGAATCTTCTTTATGTATGACTAATTTAGGATAACTACATTATTTTTCAGCCAATTAAAGTTCATGATAAAATTTGATATACGTAACCTCTACAAGACCTGCTAGTGTGTGTGAGTTTGATCAATAGATTTATAGAGAAGCCTTGTTCAAATCATCAGGAGGGACATAAAGAATTTTAAGTTATGTCAAAGGAACGATTGACTATTGTATTTGCTGTGAATGATGCATTGTGAAAATAGCTCAGCCGTGATTTCAACATGGAAAAGCTAAAGTACATTCATCTTCTTTTTCATCTCGGAGGAGAATCAATATAGGAATACTAGAGAAATGAAAAAAAAACTTGAAGAAATATTTACAACAATTCAAGGACAAGATATCACTACATGGAATGTTGTAACTTCGGGAGATAAAAACAAATCTGGTACATGGGAGGAATTTTTGAAAATCTGATGCAAACCCACATAGTAATTGAAGCTATGCAACTCACAACATATTAGATCAAACCCAAGAAAATCAAAAATCAACATTTGGAAAAGCTCGACCTGATAAATTATTGAATCAATGAACCATGGCAATCGAAGACAATATCTTGACCCCATGATTACAAAATTTGTAAACCTTACTTAAATTGCTAAATGCCACAAAAAATTAATCCCTGATAAGTTCAAAAATTAATTCAAAGAAGATGAATCGAAAGCAAAATAAACCTAGCAATAATATCTCTCAATTGTGTGTGTTACAATGAAAAGAATGAGTTATATATATAGGTAACTTATAAAAACCCTAATTAAAAGAGAATTGAAGTTTAAAAATACCAAAAGATACCATAAAATAGAGTTTTAAAAAAATAGGAGATTACGCGAAATTTGAAAATTTTGCATCCTAGATTACACTAAGCAACAACATAGGGTTAAGGTGTGGGGTTGCATAGGCCAATCAACAATCTGATTTTTTTTTGTCTTGGTATGTACCTATGCAGCCACATGCATAGATACACAATGCATTCACATAGGCGGGATAGCCTCAACTCACTCTTCCACTGTTTGAACCAAATTGATTCATCTTGTTTCTTTTTCCATGCCCAACATGAAACTTGTCCCTTTAGTTGTTGTGATTGATGTTTTATTTACCATAACTTGAACAAGTAATCCCATGCCTTTAACCTTCTTTGCCCGTGAATAGTTGTTGGCCCTTCCTCCATGATCAATGAATTTTTGTTCTTGCTAGCTTTTGTACCATGGATCTCATCAAAATCTAAACCTAATTTGGGAGTATGTCAATCATTAATTCATTTTGGAAAATGTACACATTCATTTGGATATTTTAAGAATCAATTTATGTCTATTAAATCCTATGAAGTTGGTGCTATTAATGAATACAAATCTGTCAATATTTTTAATTGATAGATTAAAGGTATTAGATAGATTATGGAAGATCAATTACATTTTACTGATTTCATTTTCCTAGAATAGATATAAATCTTATGTATATAATTCCTAGTAATATTATTCATTGAACATATCAACATATAGAACCATTTTTACATGGTATCAGAGCACCGATCTTGGTGAATCTTATGTATATAATTCCTTGTAACATTATTCATTGAACATATCAACATATAGAACCATTTTTACATGGTATCAAAGCACCGATCTTGGTGAATCCATAAACCAAAAACACCTCCTACAACCACATCAAATTAAATGGCTCATAACGCAGAAATCATAAATGAGAATTCCACCACCCAATAGGGTTCAGAAAATTCGAGCCTTACCACGAATGAGAATCCACTCATTCTACATAGTTCAGATAATCCGAGCATCATCTTGGTTTTCAAAGTCCTTGAACCACATAACTATGGACAATGGAGTCAAGCCATTCACATCGATCTTAGTGCAAAGAATAAGATCGGGTTCATCGATGGATCCATTGAGATGCCGTTACCCACAAATAAAAATTTTCACTGTTGGCAATGTTGCAACGATATGGTATTGTCATGGATCCTGAATTATGTAAGTCTAGACATTGCTTCCAGCGTAATCTACATGGATTCGACATCGGTTGTGTGGAAAGATCTCTATGATCGGTTTTCACAAG